TGCTTATCAATTGTTCGCTCCAAATTATCTGATCTGTATGAATGGTTACATTAGTGTAGAATATATCCAATGCCAATGTTTTTTAGCTCTGCATTGTTCTTGTAAGTACATGCTGTCCTTTATCAGTGTACTTATAATGACAGGTAGTTGTTCATGTACCATCACTCTGCAGCTTATTTTCCTTTGCCCTACATTTTCTACACATCAGATCTATATTTAATCTTACCATAAGGTTGGTACTGAAGAAGTTTAGCTGTGCATTGCTTGTGGCTATAGCTTTTGCCTGTATCGCTGCACTTACATTTATAGCTACTTGGTTATGTAGCATCACTCTTCATATTATCTTAAATATTCTCCATTTTTCGTATATTATCACATCTATATTTACTCTTAACAAAATGTAGAATAAAGGCAATGCTTTTGAAGGAGATTCTGTGGTAAACTTCTTGAATTCCCCCCCCCCCATCAGCATGGACAAGGCCTTTATAGAGCATGTCTTCACCAATAATATAAGTTTGTCCATCTCAAGCCTTCAAACTTTGTTGTATATATTTGGTTAGGCATGACTGCAACAGCTGTTTATTTTTGGTGTTTGCATCAAATTGCTTGTTTAAAGTTTATTATGTAGTTCATAAACAAAATTTTGTCCTTTCTCAATTTAAGTTTTCAGTTGTACAACCAACTTCCTTCTTCATACCATGTAATTTAAACTATACAGAGCAAGTGATCTTCTTTTGCACTGCATGTATGCTTCTGTTCTTCATTCATAATCCAGTGTTGTGGTGAACCTACCCACTACAGCACAATGTCATATTCTGCAATGTCTTAACTATGAACAATGTCATATCATTCTACTATTATTTAAACCATATCTTTATTTGCCAATCTGAAATGGTATAAATTGACAGCACACTAACCATTGATACTTATGAGTTCTTGATCTGTAATCCAATGGTGTCGTGAAGCTGTCAACTCCTTCACAATGTCATTTCCTGCCATGTCTTGACCTGAACAATACCATATTGTGTTAATGCAAATTTAAAATGTGTCACTTTATTCGTCAGTAAGAAATGTGATGAATTGTCAGCACTGATACTTTTATGTGCAAAACCTGTCATCTGTCTGCTTGTTTATCTTTCGGAGTGAGGAAGATATAAGTGTTGAACAAGCATAGTCTCATCATCTTGTTCAGCTGCTTGCGCTGCAGCTCCCCAGCAGGGCTAACCTTTCTTGAACTCTATTGAAGTGATGTCGGTTTTGTATATTATTTTGTCGGCGTGTTTATTTGCACTGGTGGCTATCTTTGATGCCCAGTGTATATAATCTGATGTCTGCTTGTGCTATATTATCATAGTGGCGAACTTTGGTGCCCAGTGGATGTGATATGCCGTAATTTATTTATTGTATAGTATAGGTTTTTTCTTATTCACGAGTTGCAGTTATTTTACTGTATATATATCATGTCTTCGCAGTAAACCGGCCAAACCATAAAATTACGGCACATAATCGGGCCATCATGCAATCACGATGTAGGTTGGGCCTGAAACGTGCCGATCAGCTCACGGGCCGGCAGCAGCCCGAAATGAACCTCGGCCCATGATTGTGCGATTCAAATTACGGGCTTTTAACAGGCCGAAAATTTGTCTCGGTCCTTGTTTAGGCCAATCAGATATCGGCTGCGAGCAGGCCGGATGCAAACTGGGCCATAGTTAGGCCCAACTATATGACGGGCTTTTAACAGGCTGAAATTAATATAGGGTCAAAATGTTAAACGGGCCCTTAACAGGCCAAAACTAATATCAGGCCGAATTACTAAGTGGGCCTTTAGTAAGTGGGCCCAAAAGCATAGTGTCCAGTTGACGGGCCGAATCTAATATGGGCCATAATTAGGCCCAAAACCTCTTAAAGGGCTGGACCTGATCTGGGCCTTAATTTGGCCCAGAATGTGGTAGGCTTTTAACGGGCCAGATCTCATATGGGCCACTATTATGCCCGGAGCGTGGCAGGCCATTAATAGATCGGATCAAATATGGGCCGGCATTTGGCCCAAAACAGGGCAGCGAGTTAACGGGCCGGCCTACTAGGTTCCTCAAAATCTTGTGGGCCTATAGCTGGGCCCACCCATTAATGTCGACGAAATCTCGTGGGCCTTTAGCTGGGCCGGCCCATTATGATCCGCAAGAATTTTGTGGGCCTTTACCTGGTCCGGCCTATTATGGCACACGAAAATCTTGTGGGCCTTTACCTGGACCGGCCCATTATGGCCCGCAAAATCTTGTGGGCCTTTAGCTGGGCCAGCCCATTATGGTCCGCAAAATCTCGTGGGCCTTTAGCTGGGCCAGCCCATTATGGTCCGCAAAATCTTGTGTGCCTTTAGTTGGGCTGGCCCATTTAAACTTGTTGGGCCGTGCCACGTGTCAACGTATCATAGGCGCCTTCTGTCCAGTGAGTGGATGACTTCTGTCCCGACGATGAGCCGATACGTGTTTCCTCTAGCCAATGATGATTTTACACGTGGAAAATCCCCATTGGTCGGGGCTGTTAACGGGTTATCGGATCCAAAACCCGACCCGATAGCTTAACGGCGTTCCGCTACGGTGGATGCCATGTGTCAGTCACCCTTGACGAAAGCACTTCTGTGACGCGTGATTTATCGTCATGGAAGTGGACACTTCCATGATGATAATTTTGGTAATGTCATGGAACACTTCTACGACAGCACAGGTATGACTATCTTGATTCTGTCATAAATTTGTCATGGATGTACATGCATGACAAAAAAGCGACCTACTGTGACAAACACGTATCATCACGGAAGTGTATTTTTTGTAGTGCTTACAATCGCCACTTCACACAATACATAAATAACTCATACATCATCCATAATACAATCAAGGTCCGACTACGGAACCAAAATAAAAGAAGATAACCCCAAATGCTAGATCCCTGATCGTCCCAACTAGGCTCCACTACTGATCAACCGGAAAGACACAAAACAACGAACAAGATATTCATCGAGCTCCCACTTGAGCTGGGTGCGTCGCCTGCACTGGTATCATCAGCACCTGCATCTGTTTGGAAGTATCTGTGAGATCAAGACTATTTAAGCTTAAGGGTAGGAATGGGTAGTGAGGTGGAGCTGCAGCAGCACTAAGCGTATATGGTGGCTAACTTGCGCAAATGAGAGTGAGAAGAGAAGCAATGCATGGTCGAAAAACTATAGGTGATCAAGAAGTGATGCTGAAACTACTTACGTTCAAGCATAACACAAGACTGTGTTATCTTCCCGGACTCAGCCGAAAAGAGACCATCACGGCTACACACGCAGTTGATTCATTTTAATTAAGTTAAGTGTCAAGTTCTCTACAAGCGGATATTAACAAATTCCCATCTGGCACATAACCGCGGGCACGGTTTTCAAAAGTTCAAACCCTGCAGGGTGTCCCAACTGAGCCCATCACAAGCTCTCACGATCAACGAAGGACATTCCTTCTCCCAGGAAGACCCGATCAGACTCGAAATCCCGGTTACGAGACATTTCGACAATGGTAAAACAAGACAAACAAGACCACCCGATGCACCGACATCCTGATAGGAGCTGCACATATCTCGTTCTCAGGGCAACACCGGATGAGACATCCTACGAGTAAAACCAAACCTCAAGTTTCCCCGAGGTGGCCCCGCAGTCTACTCGGTTCGGACCAACACTTAGACAAGCACTGTCCCGGGGGGGTTAAAATAAAGATGACCCTTGGTGTCAGGGATATACCCCACGGTATGACCTGGCCGAAAGTATGACTCGGCCGGGCTTGGCTTTATCATTGGTAACCCGCCGGAGTGGCGACTCACGAACCTGGCGACTCACGGATGGCCCTAACGGCGGGTCAGATAGAAGACTAGGCCCAAGGCCCAGAAGGCCTGCTCACGTTTATGATGGGCTAGTTTAAGAGGAAAGGCATAAGGAATATTCTCCTACAAAGGAAGCAAGACTATGACTCCACTTGTAATAGGTTAATCCTAATCCTACTAGGACTAGTCATGTAACCCGCCCCTTCAACATATATAAGGAGGGGCAGGGCTACCCAAACAGGGAGAAGCAAGAAGAAACAATCTCTAGGGCTAGACACAATGGGGGAGTCGAATTATGCGGCGGCTCTCTCATGAGCATAATGAGATCTAGCCACAAACAGCATGTAGGGCTATTACCGGATGATGTTTCCCGGAGCCCGAAGCTGTCTAAATCTTTGTCTTGTGTTGCGTGTCTCGATTCCGCTCAACCCCTCTCAAGCTACTACAAAGATGCGTTGGTCTCACGACTAAGTCCTCACACTAGGACATCTGCCATGACAAATCCACGATAGTTGGCGCCCACCGTGGGGCATGCGCACGGTGGTGTTGAGTTCTTGCAGGGCTTTATCTCAGGGATCGAGAAGTTTGCAATTTACGAATAAGCCGCAAACGGATTCATTAAGTTCGCCGATTTCTTGAGTTCTCGGTTGACATAGTTCACTGATTTTTTTAGTTCAAGATATGTCAACCGCTGTTTGTCAGAGCGGGCGGTCGAATTACAAGTCGCCGAGGGCCTCGTTTTTCCTGCTGCAGTTTATTTCGCCGGCATATCAAGTTTGGTTCTATAAACTACCGTCAAGTCAGAATTTTCAATTCAATCAACCGAGGCGAGGTTAAACTTGCCTACTCAAGCCTCAAGAAGATCCAGCGTTGTAGCAAGTCATGATGGTGTCGGACCAATTAGTGGTACTACTCATTACCTAAAGGGAATCAAAGACGATCTGGATTGGGCTGAAAAAAATGTATGGGGACCGAGAGCTGGAGGAAGACCCGGATGAGGATTGATTAGACCGACCACAACCCGGGGTAGGAGTTCGATGCGCCTCTGCTTCCTGCTGTCGCGGCCTTGCTTTGCTGGCACCTTCCCGCCGTCGCTCTCCACTTCCACCTGTAGAGAACCGGCCACGACCTCCGCCCCTACACCTGCGGCATCACCCGCAAGTCGGCCACCGTCGACCCGCTGTCTTCGTGGCCCTGCCGCTGGCCGCCATCGCCGCCTCTGCAGCCGCTGCCGCCTCGACGCTCCGCCTCCACGTTGCTCCGCTGTGGCCGGACCTGAGCCACCCTCGCCGCGTCTGGGCTGTCCCGTCTTGACCCGCCACCAGAGGGTCTCCTCGTGTTGAGCCGCCGCCGGAGAGCCGTCGTACCTCAAGTGGTCGTGCATCCACCTCAGGATGCTGCCTCGAGCCGCTACCAAGTGGGCAGCCTGCGTAGCCTCGTGCCAACTCGCTGAGTCCGGCCATGGTTCGTCTCCGGCTCCCCTCAACAGCCTCGCCTCTCTGAAATTGTCGGGCTGTCGCCGGATCAAGCCCCTGCTGCAAGCTGCCTTCACTTTTTGCTGGGTACCCTCGTCGTCGTCGCTTTCTCGATTCCTATCGCCGTTTTTTCTGCCGCCCGAGCTGACCTTGGCCGTATCGAGCTGACCTCTGTCGCCGCGCTTGGCTTTAATCCGGCGTCGTTGAACTGCCTCACCTCCCAGTGAGCCGCCACACCGGCCGACCCGCCTCCACTGCTTCGATCTACGGCTGCGTCAGGTACACCGCGCCTCACCGTGCTGCTTCCATTTCTGCTGCTACTGTTCCGTTCACTAGCGTACCTTTGAGTCACCTGCACCACGCCTCCATCTCGCCTCCGCTGAATCGCCTTTCTTCCTCTGACGAGCCGCCCGCGCTGGACCAGGCGTGCCGTTGCCGCTGAATCGCTACTATGGTATGCCCCCTCCGTTTGTTACCTTTGAGCCGCCTTGCTGTTTGGCCATTTATATATGAGGATAAGGTAGACGTGGGGCTAGGGTCAACACAAGGAATGGTGTGGCTGGATACTGCTTGCATGTATGTGGATAAATGGTTGGGCGTCCGTGAAGTTATTGGATGTCTGGATGGGCATCATGATTGCGTTGCTGCTATTTTCCATGATTGTACAAAAAAGAGACCAATAGTACACCTTTGGTTAATACTTCGGAAGACCAACAATTCAACGTTGACCCGGAGGGTCCGTTCAGAATCATCCAGCTCTGGTTGTGCTGTGGTCGAGCTTCAAGTTGCTGCTTCCGCCGTCGTCATTGTGACCTCGTGTTGAGCCAACCCGACCGGCCTTGTTCTGAGCCGTTGTGGTTCCCCTTGCTGTGGTTGATGTCCTTTTGCAAGTTTAGGGGAGAGTGGCTAAAATTGCCATTATAAGTACTGGAAGTTATTTCACAAAACGGATCATCCAAACGTCCGAACAAATCAGGTGATATCCATCTAGATCTATTTTCTTGGTATATATTGTTTTTATCAAGGAAACAGTTACTTTGATCCGTATATTATGATATGCAGGACAATTATTCATTATAAACATGGTTTATACCATGGGTACGGAGCATGCGCTGGCAACGTCCTACCCGGTGTTCGTCTATGCCATATTACACGGTGAATGGATGCGTGCAAGATGCAGCCCTTACGGCCCGGTTTACATCAACTTGCCGGAACCGCGCCTGCGATTGACTCTCTCGTCCACACCAGCTTACAACGCCGCGGCCGACTCGGTCGTGATTAATTTCAGCGTCGCCGCGGTGATCATCAACTCCGCGGTGGATAATTTCTGGCTTAACATATCTGGTGAAATCTATCTAGTATATTTTTATATTATATATTGTTTTTCTTTAAAAGAGCAATTACTCTGTCTTGCAAGTTCACCAATGCAGGACAAGTTATATCATTGAGCTGTTGACTGACTCATATCGGTTTATATCATGGTCAATATGGAGAATCTCAAAGCCAACTCCTTGAGTCGCCTTGAGACTCGGGGGCTACGATGACATGACTCAGTAAATGATTGCCGGTTCAAAACAGATTCAAGAACTCCGGGTCATTGGAGAGAAAAATAACCCAGCCCCGAAGGCTACTACCTTATTGGCGAATATTTAAAGGCCGTCAAAAAAATTCCGGCTTAAAAAGAAGGATTCCGGTTCAAGGGAATTTGTCTCCCACAAAGCGCTAAAGCTCTCAATATCCGGTCTAAAATCCGGCTCAAGGTAAACCTGTCTCCCACAAAGCTTTGAAGCTCTTAATATCCGGTTTGAAATTCCGGTTTAAAAAGAATTCATCTCTCGCAAGTTCGAGTTTTTAGAAAAAATTATAGGAACCAAAGAGAGTTTTTTTTGCATAGCACAACTCAAACATAGGCACCCGGCGAGCACAGCTTAGAAATATATCACTTGGGGGCTTCTGGTTTATTGAGCTAAGCTATGATTACCCTTTGATACAGCTCATAGCCACAGTTACAGGTCATTTGGGGGCTTCCTGTTCAAACATAGGTCATCTTCGAACCAAAGAGAACATAGCTGTCGGTACCCTCTTGATCGGCGCAATGTCAAACTCACTAGGGGGCTTCTTAATCGTATTCGAATAATAGCTTAACCCCTTTTGGGTCTGACTTGGATCGTATTCGAATCAAGGTCGTTAAAAACCCCTCAAGGTCATTTGGGAGCTTCCTGTTCAAACATAGGTCGTATTCGAACCAAAGAGAACATAGCTATTTGTACCCTCTTGATCGGCGCAATGCCAAAGCCACTGGGGGCTACATGATCGTATTCGAATCCTAGCTTAACTCCTTTGGTCCGGTTTACTGATCGTATTCGAATCAGAAGCCTCAAATTCTTCTTTCTATTTTGCTTAAAGTTTTTTGGAAACAGTCTTTAATTTGGGTTTGTCTTGAGACTTTTTGTTCGTATCTGAAGCATATATGTGCTTCGATTAACCCGGCTTGACTTTGGATGATAAGTCGCTATATGACAATAATAAACATTTGGAAGTTTTTGGCTTCTAAAGATTGGGTTATCACCCTTACTGCACAGGTATCCTAAACCGGCAGTACGATTCAATATCACAGGAACCGGTTTTTCAAACCCGGTTATATTATTCAAATCTTTAATAGCCAACATGGCTGGATTTTTATTAGGGTTATCAATTCTTGATTTTCTCAAAGGCTATAAGCCGCCAGGTTATAAAAATTCCGGCTTACAATGGAGGCGTACTAAATTGCCATCGGGCAAGAGCCGCCGGGTATTTAAACTCCGGATTTACTTATCAATAGATGAGGTATTCAAAGTCGCTTTGGCGCAATGGCTAGTATTTTATCAATGGATATGATTTATTATACAATGGAAGGAATAGTCCCGAGTCGCTGCAGGCTTACGACCCAGCACTTGGGGGCTACATTATTTAAATTGAGATTACATCAAATATGCAAGTCCCATGTCACTGCCAGCATGCACCATGGCACTTGGGGGCTAATGTAAAGCCATTTTTTGCTCGCTTTATTGAAGACCCGACCCATCACATTGTAATGAGACGACCCTTGGGGGCTACCAATTGCTTTGGTCAAAAAGTTTAAGGTACACAAACTTTAATCCATTATATTGAAAGGTTTATTTCTCAGTTGGTAAAGCACAAAGCTCTTAACCTTGTGGACGTGGGTTCAAACCTCATGATGGGGGTTACATCATATGATGTTATTTTCAATGAAGTTTATATAAAGTCCCAGCTCAATATTATCTTACGGCGCCAGCCCTTGGGGGCTACACGTTGTTGTTCAAGTTTACATGGTTATATCTACAAAGTCTCTGCTCATTATTGCATAATGACCCGGCCCTTGGGGGCTACACTAGTTGAAGTTTTTATAAGCATAAGGCAATTACAAATCCCAGGTTGCTGCAAGCATGACAACCGGACACTTGGGGGCTACAGGTGATATGCATATAAGGGAGAAAAAATCTTCAAATTCTCAGTTTGGCAAATTCTCAGATTAACCTGGTGTGTGCAACAATCATGACCCGACATCATTTATTTATAACCCAGCAATTTTGGCAATCATAAATCGGCAAGATCTACATCTTTAAGCCGGCTGAATATCAGTTGAATATTTCAAGACCAATATTTTTGTCAAGTCAGAGCATTGAAGGCCAACTCAATGGATTATTTCTTATAATATTTCTCTACAAGAGCCAATGTCAGCAAATTGGTTATGAAGCTGGCCTATTGACCTGGATTTTTTAGAAGAAGTGCATGGATTTTTTTTTGCATAGGCATGGTTTGGACATATCTGTTAAAAGAGATTTGCTATAAGATCTTGAGTATGCATCCAGGAGGAAATGACAAGGACTTAAAGATGATCAGGTGCCGGTTCAGGAAAATATTTTAACCCGGCGCACAACCTATCAAGTTTGTTCTTGTGTTTATTTTACATGATCAGTTTAACATGGATAAATCCAAATTAAACTGGGGTCTAATGTCGGGGATATACCCCACGGTATGACCTGGCCGGGCTTCACGTTTTCATTGGTAACCCGCCGGAGTGGCGACTCACAAACCTGGCGACTCACGGATGGCCCTAATGGTGGGTCAGATAGAAGACTAGGCCCAAGGCCCAGAAGGCCGGCTCACGTTTATGATGGGCCAGTTTAAGAGGAAAGGCATAAGGAATAATCTCCTACAAAGGAAGCAAGACTAGGACTCCACTTGTAATATGTTAATCCTAATCCTACTAGGACTAGTCATGTAACTCGCCCCTTCAACATATATAAGGAGGGGCAAGGCTCCCCAAAGAGGGAGAAGCAAGAAGAAACAATCTCTAGGGCTAGACACAAAGGGGGAGCCGGCTTATGCGGCGGATGATGTTTCCCGGGGCCCGAAGCTGTCTAAATCTTTGTCTTGTGTTGCGTCTCTCGATTCCGCTCAACCCCACTCAAGCTACTAGAAAGATGTGTTGGCCTCATGACTAAGTCCTCACACTAGGACATCTGCCGTGACAAATCCACGACACTTGGGTTAATTACTCCCAAGGGAAAGGTGTAGGTTGTTAGGAAAATGTAAAACCAAGGTTGGGCTTTGCTGGAAAAAATTTATTCAAAGCGAACTGTCAAGGGGTTCCCATAACACCCAATCGCGTAAGGGACACAAAATCGAGGAACATAACACGGGTATGACGGAAACTAGGGCGGCAAGAGTGGAACAAAACACCAGGCATAAGGTCGAGCCTTCCACCCTTTACCAAGTATATAGATGCATTAAAGTAAATAAGAGATAATAATGATATCCCAACAAAATCCATGTTCCAACATGGAACAAAATTCATCTTCACCTGCAACTAGCAACGCTATAAGAGGGGTTGAGCAAAAGCGGTAACATAGCCAAACAACGGTTTTCTAGGAAAGGTGGGTTAGAGGCTTGACATGGCAATATGGGAGGCATGATATAGCAAG